AAAAAAAAAAAAAAAAAGAAGAAAAGCAAAAAGGCCCCTGCTGTAGGTGTAGGTGACGGCTTTGAGAAAAGCAACTGGGGTTGTGGGGTCTTTCTCTGGTTTACACCCACCCCGTGGCTTCTGCTTAGACACAACTCTTGTCCTCCGGAGCCCAAGATGGTCCAAGGAAATGACTCATGATCATGACTTTGGGCCCCCAGCATGACGTGGCACAGGCTGAGGGAGGCTGCAAGGGTACACTCCCCACAGCCCAGGAGATTTGAGCACTTAGGACCATTCCAGTTCCCAGAGGGAGGCCGGAGGCAGACCATTGGGCCTTTAAATTCACCTGATACCCTCCTCCTAGCCCCAGGTGACAGTAAGGAATGCGGCCCATGACGTCTGTAGCCACTGGAATAGTGCCTTAGGGATGGTGCCAGATGGCTTCACATGTGTGTGTATTTTTTGAGACAGGGTCTGGCTCCGTCGCCCAGGCTGGAGGGCAGTGGCGTGATCATGGCTCACTGCAGCCTCAAACTCCTGGGCTTAAGCGATCCTCCCACCTCAGCCTCCCCGGTCGCTGGGACAGCAGGCACATGCCACCACGCCCAACTTTTTGGTTGTTTTTGAAGAGATGGTTTCACCATGTTGCCCACGCTGGTCTTGAACCCCTGGCCTCAAGTGATCCGGCCATCTTGGCCTTCCAAAGTGCTGGGATTACAGGTGTGAGCCACCTCGCCCAGCTATGTTTGTGTATATTCTACAACATAACTGTCACAAACACCTGGGGCCCCTTAAGGACTTGAGGCCATTTGTCAGGCCTCAAGGGAACCCACGGCAGGTTCACTCGCATGTCCTCTTCTACCACTGGCACTGGCCCTTCCCGGAGCAAACCACAATTCGCATTTGTCTATTCCCCCTTCCCATCAAGCAAACACTGCTTCATCACATGCTCCTGCGTCTAAGCAAGCACTGCCTGATTTGCTTGCCTGAGCCTTTCACATGAATGGCACCCTGGAGAGCCTCCTGGGACCCGCTCTTTCTACTCAACTTTCTCCTGCTAACATCCATCCATATGAACAGCAGCTTTTTTGGTTTCACAATACATTTATTTAGAAAAGCAACATACAGTAATAGGTATTTCAGAGAAAGCAGCAAAGAGTAAAGAGAAATACAAAAGACATTTGGGATACAGCCGCCGTCTTCTGCCATCCACACACAGTGTATTTTACTGTAACTGACCAGGGGAACTCTGGTGCCAGGAAGTTCACAACCAAGTCTGTGGCCACCACTGCAGCTGTAGCCAGTTCTGTGGACTGACGTTATGTTGGGATTCATTCTTCTTTCATTTAACAAATGTGACAGGGACTGGGCTGGGGACACACAGGAATAAGTGGGTCTCCGCCCGTGGGAGCTCAGAATCTAACAGTGAGACAGAGGCGCAAACAGTTAGCAAATGACAGCATAGGAAGTGCCACCAAGGTGCAGGCTCAGGGTGCTATAGGGACCTGCAAGGCCACCGGACTGAGCTTTGGGTAGCTGGGAAGGCTTCCTGGAGGAGGTGAGGCCAGAAATGGGGTAAGCCTGGGCCAGGCACAAGGCAGGCCTTTTGGCTCCCGCGTGTGGTTCCTCAACACGCCGCGTACAGGCCCCTCAGCTGACCTGTCTTCTGTGAAATTCTCTATCCCGCTGTCTGTTCTATTCGCACTGCGCTTTGTCTTGGTGGTTGGCTTTCACGAACCCACATCTTACACTCCAAAACTGGGCTGCTGTTTCCCGGGAGGTTCTTTTTTTTGAGACAGAGTCTCACTCAGTCACCCAGGCTGGAGTGCAGTGGTGCAATCTCGGCTCACTACAGCACCTCCTGGGTTCAAGCGATTCTCCTGCCTCATCCTCTCCAGTAGCTGGGATCACAGACGCACGCCACCACGCCCGGCTAGTTTTTATATATTTAGTAGAGACAGGTTTCACTGTGTTGCCCAGGCTGGACCTCAAACTTCTGACCTCATGTGATCTGCCCGCCTCGGCCTCCCAAAGTGCTAGAATTACAGGCACGAGCCACTGCGCCCAGCCTTGGAGGTTCTCTTACGCTTGGTGTTTTTCACGGCACCTGTGACTACGCTTTGGCTGGAGCAGCTGCCCACCCGACCCTGGCTGGGACCAAGACCGTCAGCACTTCTCCAGCACCTGGCTGAGGCAGGATGAGGTGGGTGTTTGCCGTGGGTGAAAAGGGGCCAAAAACACTGAAATGGGCCGGGTGCGGTGGCTCAAGCCTGTAATCCAAGCACTTTGGAGGCCAAAGAGGGCGGATCACCTGAGGTCGGGAGTTCAAAACCAGCCTGACCAACAGGGTGAAACCCCGTCTGTAAAAAAAAAAAAAAAAAAAAAAAAAAAAAAAAAAAAAAAAAAAAAAAAAAAAAAAAAAAAAAAAAAAAAAAAAAAAAAAAAAAAAAAAAAAAAAAAAAAAAAAAAAAAAAAAAAAACAGACACTGAAATGAAAGCCACACCCATGAAGCTGTTGCCTGGGCAGAGAGCTCAGAATACTTCCTAAGTGGAAAAAGTCAAAGCACATAGCAACTGTCTCAAGGGCACAGTCACGCAAAGGAAAGCAAGAAACAAGTATGTTGCTGCAACCTCCCACTAGACAACAGGGCACGCCCCCCCGTGGAGCTCCCTGGGGACCGCAGTGGCTCAGTCAAAGGTGATGCGGAAGCTGCGCTCCTGCTCCTTGCGCCGGCCCTCGCACACCTTGGTCACCTCCTCCACCTTCCTCTGTAGCAGGGCTGAGTTCTGGTCGATCCACTGCAGCGAGTCCATGTGTGCGTTGAGGATCTTGCAGATCTGCTGCAGCGGGTCGCTGGTGTCGGCAGGGGCCCCGGACGTATTCAGGTGCTCGATGATGTCCTTGAGGTCCTGGGCCATGCGCTTCAGCTGCGCATCGATGTTCTCGGCCAGCTTGTAGGTCTTCTCGCGCTCCTCGTCCGCGTGCTGCAGGTAGATGGTCCCGCTCTGCTCCTTGACCAGCTCCTCCAGCGGGCTCAGCAGGTCTTCCAGCTCCTTCTGCTGGGACAGGATGAAGTCGAGCTCCTGGTCCAGCCTCTTCTGGTCCAGCTTCACCTTCTCCACCTCTCGGTGCAGGCTGGTGATCTTCTCCCCGTTCTCGATCAGCGTGCGGTCCCAGGCGTTGACCTGGGTGGCCTGCTGGAGGAAGTGCCGCTCCTGGTCCTCCAGCTCCAGGCTCCATTTGTTGATCAGGCTCTCCAGCTGTGCGTAGGTCATGGCGGAGCTGGTGGCCACCCCTGCGGCTGCACCAGGGCCAGGTGGAGCAGTCACGGTGGCTGCCGTATTGCTGGGGATCCCGGCTGGCGCCAGTGGTTTTAAATTCAAGGCAAAGCCGGTGCTGCCGGTGCTACTGGTGGTGGTGGTGGCAGTGGTGGATGTTGTTGTGGAGGTGCCGGAAGCTGCTCCGGGTGCCTTTAAGCTGAAGCTCAGTGTCCCAGCGGCAGGGGCTCCTGCTGTGGTCGCAGGGGTACAGAGGGAGAGGCCAGTGGTGGCGGATGAGGTTGGAGCGGTTGCTATTGAGGCAAAGAGGGTGGGCCCAGCACTGGTGGTGGTGGTCGTCGGTGTGGGCGCAGCTGGCTGAGTGGTGCCTGCTGTGGTGGCTGCTGGCGTGGCCGGAGTGAAGGACAACCCGGCAGGTGCTGTGGGCTGGGCTGAATTCCCTGCTGAGCCCATGTTGAAACCGGAGGTTTGGGTTGTGCTTCCACCAGTGAACAAGAACCCTCCCGATGTGGTGGCTGGAGCCACTGAGGTGGTGGAGGGGCCAAACACAAAGCCAGTGGGTGCTGTGCCCTGGCTGGAGGTGGCGGTGCTCGGCATGGCATTAGTGAGGCTGCTGCTGCCCAGCCCAAAGCTGCTGGGGTTTGCTATGGCTGGGGTGGCAGCTGTGTTGCTCAGGTTTAGCTTTGAGGCACCAGTCCCCAAAGAAAATCCAGCTGCCCCCGAAGCAGGAGTTGCTGTTCCAAAACTGAAGCCTGGCGTCTGTGTGGCCGGAGTCTGGGTGGCAAGTGAGAACAGGCTGGTGGAAGGGGTACTTGCGGCTGGTTGGGAGGGAGCCCCAAAATTAAACCCTCCGGTGCCAGAGGTGGAGAAAGAAAACCCCGTGGCAGGTGTGGTTGTTGCCGTCTTTGCAGTGCCAAACGTGAACCCGCCTGTAGGGGCCCCAGTGCCTCCAAAATTAAACCCGCTCATGGCTCCAGACTCTGATGGCGGCAGCTACTCCGGCTCCCAAAGCAAATCCGTCGGTGTCTGCAACCTTGGGAAGATTTCTAAAGCAGAGGAAGCGACATTGTCAGATGGCAGTTTTGGAAAGGCAAGCTCAGTGGCACGCAACCCCTCTTCTTCCTGTGTAACCTAAACCAGGCTCTGCTAAACCGAGGAGGATCCGAAAGCACCAGTGCACGCGCCAGGGTTAAGGTATGAGGAGCCGGGGGGCTAGGAACGTGCACGGCCACGTTTAGCACAGTGGAAGCTCCCACTCTGTGGAGGCTGAGGCAGAAGAGCAGAACCCTGGACCCACCTCAGCCCGAGGACGGGATGAAATGTGAGGCACTGCCACCAGCAGGACTAGGACACAGAGGAACAGCTGTAGGACCTGCTCCCAGCATGGGACCCAGTGAGATTCCCCCACTGACGCTAGCAGGGTGCGAGTGGATCAGCTCATGCTGCTCTGAGGGCCTCTCTGGACCTCAGAGAGACATGGGGCTGGGAACTCAGGCCAGATGGCAGAGCATGGGCTGCTGAAGGCCCCCAACCTGCACTCTTTAGCAGGCAAGGGCGCTGGAACGCCCTCTCTTAGCTCGGGGTGGGGGGGGGGTGTCTGAAACCCACGTGCTCAATCAGAGCACAGATATCCCTGGCTGCAGTGATTGGCTCAAGGATAAACTGAGGCCTGAGCCAGCCAATCAGAGCCTCCCCTGCGGTTTCCTCCAGGTTTGGGAGGCAGCTGCCTCTTTCACCTGTAGATGTGGTGCAGGGGATTGCACCTGGGCCTCCCCTGGATACCTTCTCAACCATGTGCAGACACTGAGACATCACCGGAGACCATGAGCCCCACCCGAGATGGGTCGGGGAGGGATAAAGAGCACCCCAGAAGCCCCATGGGCCAGAGCATTTCCATTCAGTTCAAACTGACTAGATTTTGGTAATGTCTAACTGAAAAAGCTCCATGTGGGGCCATCTATCAGCGGGAAGGTCAAAGGTTACTTGGAGAGGAAAAGGTGAAGGAGTGCTGATAGCGGTGTTTTTCTTTTTTTCTTTTGGGAAAAGGTTTTGCTCTGTCATACCAGCTGTAATGCACTGACACAAACAGCTCACTGCAGCCTTGACCTCCTGGGCTCAAGCAATTCTCCCACCTCAGCCTCCCAGAGTCGCTGGGGTTACAGGTGCAAACCACCATGCTCAGCTAATCTTTTTTATTTTTGTGGAAACTCGATCTCTGCTGCCCTGGTCTTGAACTCCTGGGCTCAAGCAGTCCTCCCTCCTTGGCCTCCCAAAGTGCTAGGACTATAGGCGTGAGCCCTAAAGATGATCAGAAGTGTCCCTAGAAGACTGACTGACTCGGGAAGAGAAGAAAGCTTGTGGTGACGAAAGCAGACTGGAGTGATGTGCTTTTGAATCTGAAGATGGCGAAGGCCAGGAGCCAGGGAAGGCAGAAGCAGCTCTAGAAGCTGGGCATGGAGAGAGCGAGACCCTGTCTCAAAAAAAAGAGGGAACAAAGTCACGACTGAGAAGCCAAGTGCCTGGCCCAGAGAAACCCCCACGACGTCTGTTTCCTCTTCCCTCTCTCTAGGCCAGTTTTCAAGTTTCTTGGTGTCTGCCCTCAGGAAATCCCCTTCTAGCTTGAGTCAGAGGAAACCTACCTCACTACCGCCACCCATTCCACTGCACCCTTCTGCCTTCCTCAAGGCCCCTCATTTTTGTTTCATCTGCCCCTCCCCCTCCACACAGCCAAGCAAGTGTGGGGAGACGACCCCGGGGCCAGCCGCATGGGGCTCTGCCGCCGGTGGGTCTCAGTGGGTGTTCATGAGCACTGCCTGGGAGCATTCCAAACGCACAGGGCGGCCGGCTCCGTGAAGCCAGTCTCTGCGGGGCTGGGATGCTGGCCCCGGCATTTTCATAAAGCTCTCCTGGGGGATTCTGAGAAAGATCTCTTCAAGAGGCCACGGCAAGTGCCTGAGCCCCCAGGACGGCTGGGGCCCTGCCTGGCCGCATCCAGTCCTCCCGCTGTGGGCAGAACACAAGTCCTCACTGCTGAGCCACCCTGAGCCCGTGTGTGGTTCCCGGCAGCTAACGGCATCTGAGCAGCTACGCCTACCCATCTCAGTTCTCAAGAACTCGGCTTAAAAAAGCTTTTGCTATTAATAAGCTATAGCTAAAATTTCCAAGAAAAGCATTTATAAAAAGCTCTTTGCAACTGTTAAAAAACTACAAGAGAACACACACACACACACACGCACACAACTACAAGAGGGCTGGGCACGGTGGCTCACGCTAATCTCAGCACTTTAGGAGGCTAAGGCGGATGAATCACGAGGTCAGAAGATCAAGACCATCCTGGCCAACATGGTGAAACCCCGTCTCTACTAAAATACAAAGAATTAGCCAGGCATGGTAGCGGGCACCTATAATCCCAGCTACTCGGGAGGCTGAGGCAGGAGCACTGCTTGAACCTAGGAGGTGGAGGCTGCAGTGAGCTGAGATTGCACCGCTGCGTTCCAGTCTGGCCACAGAGCAAGTCTCCGTCTCAAGAAACAAAACCAATCTCCTGTGGGGCCTTGTCTGGCTTCACAGTTCACCACTGATTAAGTGCATCGTTGGTTTCCAACACTTCAGGTGCCAGGGATCTGTTCACAATGGCAGCCCATACTGATCCAGCCCTGATGCATGCAGTTTAGATATAATATGGCTTGCGTGGTGGCTCATGCCTAATCCCAGCACTTTCGGAGGCTGAGGTGGGAGCACTGCTTGAGCCCACGAATTCGAGACCAGCCTGGCCAACATAGTATGATCCTGTCTCTACAAAAAATACAAAAACGAGTTTGCCATGGTGGCACCTGTAGCCCCAGCTACCTGGGAGGGTGAAGTGGGAAGATCACTGGAGCCCAGGGAGGTGGACACTGCAGTGAGCCGTGATTGCACCACTGCACTGCAGCCTGAACAACAGAGTGAGACCCCATCTCAAAAAAGTAGGCTGGGCGTGGTGGCTCATGTCTGTAATCCCAGCGCTTGGGGAGGCTGAGGTGGGTGGATCACCTGAGGTCAGGAGTTCGAGACTAGCCTGACCAACACGGCAAAATCCCATCTACTAAAAATATAAAAATTAGCCAGGCATAAGGGTGGCCACGTGTAATCCCAACTATTTGGGAGGCTGAGGCATCAGCCAGGAAGAAGATGGGTAGGGAGAGGGGTTGTCCAGGCAGGAGGAAGGGCCTGTGTGAAGACAGGGAGGCTGAACCAGCGGCCGTGCCTCTGGATGTTAAGTGATTTAGTGCTTCCGGGGGGAGACGTTTAGGCGTGAAGGACTGACTTGCCAAGCCTGGGCTGTTCAAATCCACACATTTCAAAGAGAGAAATGGTCCTTGACCAGCTCCTGTAGAGAATCTCTATGTTCTTGAAATGTCCTGCCAGGTAAGAGCGTTTTTGGTCACCTGGGCACTCCGGCCACTCTGGAGTGTCCATGCTAACGCTCTGACCTACAGTGGGGGCTTCGGGTCATTCGGTATCAGCGAGACCTCAAGGGGCTGGAGACTGCAGTCCTCAGTTCAGCCACATGGGTGCTCCATGCCTACAGAACTGCTCCTCCCCGCAACCTGGGCCGCCAGCACTCCCTATGTGCTACCACACATTGCTGCCGGGAGGGCTAAGGGCTGCCTGGGCCTCTCCTCTGGGAGAGGACAGCTGGAAGCTCGTGCCTCGTCTCTTGCAGAGCTTTTGCATCTCTCCGCTTTGCTCTTCTCAGTCTGTATCCTTTCTCCGTGATAAGCCATGACCATGACTGTCAGGAGAAAGCTATGCGGAGCGCTGTGAGTCCTAGCTCGTCACTGAGCCGGAGGGTGGTCTTGGGGACTCATGGCCATGTGACGGGCGCAAGAATTTGGCAGAGCCACACACACCATGCAAACGGTTGAGGCGTTATGCTGAGCGCGCAACAGGGGAATTTATGGGTGTGGGGGATGGACCGAAGGGGTAGAGGCTGACAGCCAGGCAGCTTAGAGAAGACTGGGAGGTCTGGGCCAAGAGCCTGAGGCCCAGACTGGGACTCAGGGAAGAGAGCATCACAATTTGAGCAAAGTGTTAAATGTGTACTAAAACCATAGAGTCTGTTCCCAGTTACCAAAGCCTGCACCAAGACACAGGGTCTGTCCAGGTTAATAGTGACAAACCAGGCACGATGGCTCATGCCTGTAATCCTAGCACTTTGGAATCCAAGGCGGGAGGACTGCTTAAGCCAGGAGATTGAGGCAAAAACCAAAAAACCCAGCTGGGCGCGGTGGCTCACGCCTGTAATCCCAGCACTTTGGGAGGCCGAGGCAGGTGGATCACAAGGTCAAGAGATCAAGACCATCCTGGTCAACATGGTGAAACCCCGTCTCTACTAAAAATACAAAAAGTCAGCTGGGCATGTTGGCACGTGCCTGTAATCCCAGCTACTTGGGAGGCTGAGGCAGGAGAATTGCCTGAACCCAGGAGGCGGAGGCTGCGGTGAGCCGAGATCGTGCCATTGCACTCCAGCCTGGGTAACATGAGTGAAACTCCGTCTCAAAAAAAAAAAAAAAAACCCAAAAAACCCTCAAACACCATAGATACTAGAACTTGGGAAGTTTCTCTAAAATGCTAACTGTTAGGAGCTCTGGTCCAGGAATTACCACGTTTGCGGAAGGGGAGAGTTTCCCTACAAAAGACGCTGGTGCTGCGAGGAAGCCAAACTGAGAGTGGTGCATTTCCAGGGAATAGAGGAGGACGTGCCTGGGCTTGTGCTCAGGGCTGGGTGGCTGTGGCCATCATAGTTCACCGAGGCAGGATGGACTCCAGAGGGCGCTAGAGAAGCGCGGCCTTGCGTCACCAAGGGGAAGTGCTGGCAGAGTAGCCAGTCCCTTCCCGTCCTGCCTGCCCCAACCTTTGAGTTTCAAACAACGCCGGTGCCTTCACAGTCCTGGGGACAGAGGAAGACCTGCTTGGGAATCAGATGCAGACACATCCCACCCCCAGCTGTGGGAACCAGGGTTCTTTGCTATCACCCAGCCTTCAGGTCAGCTCTACCACCTTA